CCCATACGTTCGGGCGTTCGGGTTCGGGCGTTCGGCTCGTCCCGAACGCCAACAACCCTGACTACAACAAATATCTTCTAATTTAAATTGGATTAACATATTTATGACTGAAAATCCTTACATAGAATGACAGTCCAATTAAAATATTTCATGAACTCATCCAAACTTTCATTACATCTCTAGCATGCAGTTAAATAAGAAGGGATACCCCATTCTTGGAATGAAAGTTTTCAAGTAAGACAAAAATTTTCAAATTGGAATGATATTTTTTAAAATGGAATGAAAATTTGAAATGTAGAATGTAACTTTACTATAGAATGATTATTTAATTCTAGAAAAAATTTCTGTTGGCAAATAAAATGGTCCCCCCCCCCGCCGCCCCCATAATGCCTACAGCAAGAGCATAGATTTGAATGCCTTTCCACAAAAACCATTAATTTTTAAGCTTGAATTCGCCAAACTTAGTTTCCTAAAGACATAAAATTTATAATTTATGTTTCCTAAATATTTTATGAATTTCAAATTTTAGATTTAGGTCTTTGACATTCTAAGTTGTTATTCTAATTCACTCCATTTAAATATCAACGATTTTTGAATTCCTAAACTTATTGAATATTATGGAGAAAAAGTCACAGTTGATTGGGAGACCAGTGTCGATGGAAGAGAGGATAATAGATGTGACACCGTCGTAGATGTCGGATAACTAAGGCTGAAAATTTGGACTTAGGATATGGGGAGAAACTTCAGTCGACAGTGTGGAAGGAGGGGTGAGTCTATTGCTGGGATGATAGGTAATACACAGAAGAAATAAAATACGAAACGCATATATAAACCACTAGTGAGGGCGAGGGGCAAAATACGGATGCTTGATAATCGTAATGCCGACAGCGAGGCCGCTCTAAAAGTTAGACCCACCCATTTCTTAACAATTAGACCGATGTCGTAAATTAAAGGAATTCTACCAGTTGCGTAAGAAGGGATTACTAATACCCCTTGCTCAGAAGAAAGAATATCAGGTGGTCTGACGGTCATCAAGGAGGGGATAGTTGGACTACTCTCATTCCACCATAAGATAAGCGGGCAAACACAACATCCACCTTATTTGGCAACATCTATTACAGGTTGAAAGCGCCAGCCAAGAGACCCATGTTCCTCATTGAGGTTTTTCATACAATAACTGATGATTTCAACGAAGTAACTTGATGTTGCATGCATGTCTCAATTTGAGGAGTCACTACCATTGCAAATCTAGTCCTTTTGATGTCAGACTTCAAACGTTTGCTTTCCACTTTTTTGCTTCATTGAGCGCCTCAACACGAGTTTGCACAAAGAAGAAAGTTTCAACCGCATCGTCTAAAACTTACTTAAAAACTGTATCCTCCAACTACTTTTTCATGCTCTCCTGCTCTCGAATTAGTCACTTTGTTCTATCTTTATAACCGTATAGTACCGAGTTGCACTTGAGATTCTTCACGTCCCCTCTTCTCACAAATCTTCTTATGTCTTCATCCCACTTTTTTTTTTGCTCTTCTTCCTCTTTCTTTGGCAACATCTTCTTCATACTTACTCTTAGTATGTATAACTGTCAACTACATGACATCTGCACGTTTCCTCAACCATTCGCCTCTTGCAACATACTGTTCATTCTGAGATACTAGATTGTTGAATAAAGGTGGAGGTAGAGACACCAATGCCGCTTGCGGAGGCATGATAGTCATGTTAGTATTGGAATACAATTTACCCGAATACAATTTACGGTCACTATAGCTGTAGTCGAGGTATCTTTTCAGTCTAAATAGAACAAAAATGATCGTACGTTGTATTCGGGTAAAGAAGGTATGAACTAACGAAGTGGATGTTATGCGATGACAAAATCTGGCGAAATGTGAAGGTGAGCCACATCAAAACATGTGCGAAAGAAGGACAACAAAGGTCAAGTTGGTAGCCATAGTCATTACAGTCGTTCGACACGGAAATGTGAAGCCAATCTTAATGCAGTATGACCTCTAGGAACGTTACTTCGTGAAAGCAAGTAGTGTACTCAGCTGACAAATGCAAAGTGCCGACGAGGGACGCAAACTAACAACATCCTAATAACGAATGCAAAGTAGACAGTCAAGCTTACAACAAACGACAAGACCACAGTTGAGCGACCACGTGACAAGGCAAAGCTCAAACACACATTCCCAGATAAGAAGAAGAACTGGAAAAATGAATTTGTCGCAAGCAGCATTCATTTAGGCATGTGACCTGACCAGTTTCACCTAGCCGCCCTCCAGAACCATCAGGGGTCTTAGTCGCTGATGTACCTAGAACTGATGACTGTATATAGATTTGTGAATAGAAGAGTAACCAAGGACTAGTTTAGACTACCTTCTTCACCCAAATACAATGCATGGTCATTATAACTGGATTTCGGGCATCTTTCAGTCTAAATACAGTAATAATGACCGTTGTATTAGGGTAACAAGTGGACACGCCGCAGCAAAGCTGCGGCACAGAAGAGAGGCGCGAGGAGAGGCAGGCAGGGAGGGCAGCAAGCAAAGATGCAAATGAAGGCCGCAGAAAAAAAAGAAAAAAGAAAAAAAAACGGTAGCGAGGCTATTGCGAGGGAATTTCTAAAATAAAAATTGAAGGAAAGTTGGAGAGAAGACCACAAAATCCGGAAAAACAAACATGGTTTCACGGAAGGGGCAAAATTAAAAAAGGCCAGGGTTTCACGGAAGGGGAAAAAAAAAAAAAGGCCAGGCTAACAGGGTTCATGCCGGGATCCCGCACTGCAACTGAACGTCGACTTTATACTCCTCCACCTCCTCCTCCTTTTCCTCCTCTTTCCTGGACCTTCCGCTTCTGTTCCTCCTCTCGCCCCCCCCTCGTCCTCCACTTTCTCACCTCTACCGTCTCTCCTAAAARYGAAGTTCAATCATTCGACGAAACATAAATGRAATTCAATGGATGAGACGTTGTAAAACCACCTGGGCGYCGGGGGGGAGGGGGGGGAGGCAGAGGAGGAGGAGGTTGAAAAGGACAATGAGAGGAGATGGGGGTGGAAATTTACGATCAAGATAACGATGATGATGATCAGGCATAAGAACAGGATGATGAGAAGGAGACGGAGGTGAAGAGAGAAGCGGGAATGGCAAAAGGAGCGGGAGAGGGAGAAAGAGGACGATGAGGAGGAAGAGGTGAGGAAGCGGATGAAGGGGAGGAAGTGGAGGAGGAGAAGGAGGAGGATGGAGGGAAGAGAAGATAGCAACAAGCAGCAGAAGAGGAGCGGGACGAGAAGGAGACGCAAATCGAAATGCGTGTGTGTGTGTGTGTAGGATGAGCAAAATCGGAATGAACGCACAAAATCGGTCTGCGTGTGTGTGTGTGTCGGATGAGCAAGATCGGAATGGACGCGCGCCTGTCTCTTATACACATCTAGATGTGTATAAGAGACAGGTGTGTGTGTGTGTGTCGGATGAGCAAGATCGGAATGGACGCGCGCGCCTCATGGTACTACCATCGAGAGAGAGAGAGAGAGAGAGAGAGAGAGAGAGAGAGAGAGAGAGAGAGAGAGAGAGAGAGAGAGAGAGAGAGAGAGAGAGAGAGAGAGAGAGAGAGAGAGAGAGAACAGGTAAGTCTCCAACCTCGCGGCTAGCCTCATGGTACTACCATCGATAGGATAAGCAAAATCGAATGAATCGACCACTAGAACATGGAAATATACACTGCCAGAGTCGAACCTCTCACCACGAAACAAAAAAAAAAAAAGACGGCCGCGAATAAAAAACTGCAAAATCGAATGAATCTTCCACTAGAACATGGAAATATACACTGTCAGACTCGCTGCAAAATCGAATGAATCTTCCGCTAGAACATGGAAATATACACTGCCAGACTCGTTTCTATCGTCGCCCGCCAAAGTTGAGCCTCACAGTACGAAAAGGAAAAAAACGAATCCTAAAAACGGCGGGACTCGAACCTCTCACCACGGAGCTAAAAAAAAAAAAGATGGCCGCGAACAAAAAACCGCGCCGGGCCCACGGTGGGCCGGGCCCGCGCGGGAAAATGGTCTCAGCGGGACGCGTTACGCAAGACCCGCTGTTTCCTTTAAGAAGAGTATAGAAGAAGGTAGACCTCAACCCCCGACCATGAATTCAGAGTCACATTGAGACCATATCCACACCGCGTTTGCCCCTAGAAAGCAACCTTCATATCGCGACCATTGGAAATGCATGCCGCCGCTTCATCTTTAGCCCCCCAAACATGGGGATCAGATATCAGATCTTGAAAAGACATTGTAAGCCTACCTTCTGTGCAACAACCTGACTGTTTCTACCCTCGGCCCAGAGGACATTTTTCGTCACTGCCTTGTGGACCCTAAAAAATATCTACCCTACCCGACCCTTCCCCTTGTAAAGCAATTCATCAGACCCTACATTCGGGCCATACTGAACCCCTGACCAGCAAACAGTTCCAGAAAAAAAGACTCATCCCCATTCCCTGTACTGTCACGGGTAGCAAGAAAGGGCTCCCCCACCGTAGCATCCTGTACTTGTGTTTGCCAATCCCTCAGCTCCATGACTCACAAAGTGGGCCAAGGGGCCTCGCTCTATTACTCACAAAAAGTGGGGCATGGGGCCTCGAGCCACTACTCACCAAGTGTGCAAAATGAGAACGAATCTTCTGCTAGAACATGGGCAGGTGCATCGTCATATTTTTTGTTTTTGGCTTTTGTGCATGTGGTTCGAAGAGGAGCAGGGCCCAGCCACAGCCACAGCTCTCTAGTCCAATCTGTTCGTTGGCAGACGCCTGTTTTTGTTTTTTTCTGTGCGCCGTCCAGCAGGGCATCCGACAATGCTTCTGTTCTCCCTCCGGCGAGCGAAGAAAAGGAGGGGTTGTGGACAGGTAGGGGGGAGGGGATAATAGAGGGGAGGAAGTAAGTAGGGCAAGGACGGGAGGAAAGAAGGAACGAAAGGGAGGACGCGACCCCCGGGCCAAGATGGACACAGCGCTGAGGGCTGTCATCGAGGCAATTCACGCAGCGCCTGTTCGCTCTGTGCTTTATGTTGCAGGCGGGGCATCCCAGGTCAGGCTGTAGTGGCAGAATCCAATTATAATAATCCAATTATAATTATAAAATTATAAAAAAAAACGTTTTTTCTTTGTCTTTTTTCCTCTAAGCTATATTCTCCTCCTCTCCACTATCCCCTTATTACCACTATACTCCTAATGTTTTTTTTTTTTTTTTTTTTTTGGGTATTATGTTATGTTATTATGTTATCGGACGGCCAAAGCGATCCCCTCGAGTTCAATCTCTTTGCCAATCCAATATCACTTTTTCAAGTTTAGCTGCTGTTGCCTGCATGTTCCTAGTCGGATTTACGGCTAAAATTCGGATCTCGTGCTGGTGTTCGACGTGACCGATTGGTGGATTGGTCTGTCGTAGTCGGTCGGTATGGTGGGCGACCGGTCGTGGAAGCGAAGCGACTGGTCCTTGCCTTCTGTTGCCCATCTGCCGCCATGAATGTTGCTCTCTCTCTCTCTCTCTCACCTCCTGGGCGGTGTAGTTCCGCGGCAACCGTCGTCCCCCGAATACAAAGCACCCTCATTTTGGCTGCATCCGACCGAAAACATAGCTTGTATACATTACAGTCGTTATCAGTCAGGGTGCGTTGTGCTCGGGGGAAGACGGCAGCGAACTCCATAGCCAGCTTCCTTCTTCCCCCTCATGTAAAGCTCCATCTTCCTGAACCCACGTACAGAAACCGTGTTCCAGTCCAAATACATTCACCAGGATACGTACAGAAACCGTGTTCCGGTCCAAGTACATTCATGATGCTCGGGCAGTGTGTTCAGTCGAAGAAGAAGGTAGGGCTTGCCAAAACTAACTCCATAGCTAGAGGTTTGCATAACGAACTCCATATCCAGAGGATATCATAAGCATAACGAACGCCATAGCTAGAGCCTACGTATAGAAACCGTGTTCCCATCCAAGTACATTCATGATGGTCGCGCATTGTGTTCGGTCGAAGAAGAAGGTAGGGCTTGCCAAAGCTTCTTCCATAGCTAGAGGTTAACATAACGAACTCCATAACCAGAGAATAGCATAAGCATAACGAATGCCATAGCCAGAGCTCTTCTTCACTGCCGCATCTCTCATCTTCATGATGTGCAATGCCAGGTCGGTCCTCCTCTCTCTCTCTCTCTCTCTCTCTCTGTGTGTCTCTCTCTCTCTGTCTCTCTCTGTCTCTCTCTGTCTCTCTCTCTCTCTGTGTCTCTCTCTGTCTCTCTCTGTCTCTCTCTGTCTGTCTCTGTCTGTCTGTCTGTCTGTCTCTCTCTCTCTCTCTCTCTCGATGTGCTGGGGGAACATACGGCATGCTCATCACAGCTGTATTTAGGCAAAAATTCGCGCCTGATTCAGCCATAATACCCATGCCCTGTTCTTAGGGGGCGGCGGTAGGACAGGCAATCTCGAAAAAAGAAGGTAAAAAAGAGGATATGCAATCTCGACTGAATGGCGCCGATAAATGCGGTCACATGCATTCTGGATGATAGATCGGACGATGCGATGAGCAGGGCCTTGACGGAGATGGGACGGCTCAAAGTCCATTATGCGACTCACTCCCACTGCACAACTATTTATTTTCATTTTTTAAATAACTCTGCACGACATTCGAAATGTATCTTGACCTGTTAATGTTCGCAATTCATTCAAAACGTTCGATCAGCCCGAATTTTTGTGGTACACACCGCGGTCTAGATACATCTCGAATGTTAGATAGTGGGGCGAGTCGCTAGGTCCTTTCTTTCTCCTGCCCAACGAGATTGGTTCGTTCTGAGGTACCCTCAGGGACCCCTCTTAACGGAGGTCCCTTGAGGGACCCTTAGGAACCCTGAGGGACCCTGAGGGACACTGAGGCAGAGCGCGCATTTTCAATTTCTGAGTTTTCTTTTGCATCAAATCGAAAGCAGTTGCGGATTAAAGAAGCCCCAGCGAAAGCAGCGACGGAGCTGCGTTTTTTCTAATTTTAATTTTAATTTTGAATTTTAAAATTTTAAAATTTTAAATTTTTTTATAATTAAAAAAGAAAGAAAGAAGCAATAGCCAACAGAATTGCTTACGAACACGACAGATTAAAGAAAGCATTACAAAGCTTTCCTTAATCTTGTCGTGTTAAAAAAAAACAAGAAAAAAAGAAGGCATTACAAAGCTTTCGTGTTAAAAAAAAAAAAAAAAAAAAAAAACATTACAAAGCTTCGTGTCCCTCGAACTCAGAACGCGCAACTGTTTTTTTTTTTTTTTTAATAATAATTAAATCGAACCCATATTCCGCGCTCGTAAGGCAGACAATTTACCTTTATAGATCCCTGAGGGGTCCCTGACGGTATCTATTTTGGGCC